CAAATCCCTAAGAAATCTAGTTAAGCTACGCGCAAACCTGCAAGGCACACGCGGCAATGGAACATAGAGACAACTGACGAAGCCAAAAAAAAAGTACCGCACACACCTCCCTCGCGCGGCCGCACGCACGCAGAGACTTTAACCGTAGATAGAAGGTATATACGCTGCTCTCGCATTTACGCCGTGTAGCTGTTCATATATAGAGAATTATACCATTATATATGTGCACTCGAATAATACATGCTTATTTATTCAGCTCATGGTGAAACCGGCTGCTGCTGTTGCTACTGCTGCTTCTGCTGCAGCCGCTGCTGCAACGTCTGCTTACACAAGGGACTCACTAAATTATAGTGCTAAATATAACGCATGGCAATGATGAAAACCTTGTTGTTATATCCTCGAAACTCAGTCTTTCTTGCAGATGTTGAGCACGTGATACCATATTCTATGGCTGGTTTATGTGCGCGCCTGTGTGTGTGTGTAGGTATACCTCATCTTGTACGTCGTACGTGTGTGTTTAGAGAGGATGCGTAGCTTTCATCGAAAGCTCGGCTGCAAGCCGCTCGTCAACAGCTTAAGTCAAATGGATAACCGGTTCTAAGGCCTAGTGCCAAGCGGATGCCTGCGTGTAGTAGTAGTTGCGAGTTTGCAGCCGAGAGCTTATTCGACTCGACTGCGAGGGAAATTTCACATGAAACCTGCGATGAATTGATTCGTCGAATCTCTCTCCGAGCGGCACGAACATAGCAAAAGAACGTGTTACGATCGAGCCGCTCGGGGGGGACTATATCATCCGTTGACGAGCAAAAAACAAACAAAAATATACGAATAGTTGGAAAAATCTAGCGGAGAAAAAAGAAGGGAAAAAATGATTAGATTAAGCGATAATAGTTGCGGAGGATTGCCACTATGCGCGGACGACAATATCGGTTATACGTGCAATTGTATGAACGCGAGGGGATTTTCAGATCACCCGTAGTACCATTGTAAACGTGACTCGCGATTTGTGTTTTCATGAAAAAGGAACGAAGGAAACGAGCGGCGATAAAAGAAAAAGAGAGAGAGAGAGAGGAGAGCAAGTCATGTTGATAATATATCGAGGCTTGCGAGGCAAAAAATTCATAAAAAATGATAAAGTTTAACGTAACTTCGGAACGAAGTGGGGCATAAAAAAAAAATAAATTTCTTGATGTTTATATATTGAAAAAAAAAAGTTTTCGGAAATAACATTTTCTACGAGATGTTACGTAGCGTCGTGCACACGTCTATGTTAACGTCAATTATAAAAGTTACAGAATTAAGACGATTTTTTCATACATCCATAAAGATGAAATGCGTGTTTTTTGAGAAACTCCATTATTTATTTCTATTTACGTACTGATCAAAGTTGAAAAAATTATACAAACATTTTTGAAAGAAAATACACTTCGCTCCAAATTAAAAAAGCTAGATAATCCGAAAGAGGTCATTTTTACTGAAAAGTCGTTACGAATAAATAAATGAAAATTTTTCGTAAAATCATTGCTTTTTATACAGGCAACCCCGTGTCTCAATTAACAAGAGAGCAATGTCATTACCCGCATTATTTCGCATTATAATGAAAAGTATAAAACTGAATTTTCCCCTGAATTCTAAAATTCGCTGAAATCCCGTGTAAAAATAAAGCAAGACCCTCGAAATCGTGAAACAATGAAAACTGAGAAGCCAGCCGTGCAGCGCACGGGGTAAACGTACAATAGCGACGTAGTAACGATACCAATAAAAATTAACGAGGCAAGTATACGCTAGACCGATGAATGAAAGCTAGCAAAATTCCCAGCCTTATATTTGCATAGTTGAAAAAAAAAAAAAAACGTGAAGAGCTTTTGATAAGAACCCCGCGCTCGCCACGTAATGCTGCGTTATCGGTTGAAGCATTTGACGATGCATAATTTTGGAATAAAAAGAGAAACGAGCGCAAATATAACTTTGCTGCGTGCATAAACCGCGCGCGATGCTTATTTTAAATGTTCGATAAAACGATACGCGATTCCGCACGAGAACGCATGCACATGCATACATTGCACATCTTCAATTTGTTGTAACGTCGGAAAAACGTCTGTGGATTTCTTGAGGATATATTGACAGATTGACATAAAGGGCGAATGAAATGTATTCGTACGCTAGACGCAGCAGCATCGTGGCAAGGTACTTACTCGCAGCTGAGTTGTAACGTTGTTTTACATCAATTTCTGTTTGGCTTTGGCGAGTTTATTTTGCAGAAAGTAACTTTTTTTTCTCTTCAAAAAATACATACTAATTTTTTTTTGTCGCTAGTTTGAATACACGTACCACAGGCACACGGACGCGAAAGTTTCTCATCCGAAAGATAAACGCGTAATTTACAAAGCTCGCGCCGCGCGCGCGCAGCTGAAATTCTCAAATTGCCGAAACTACTTATTGTATAGCCATCGCTTACGCGCGCGTCTCTCGCGTATAACGTATATATATAAAAAAAAAAAAGGAAAAATTTCGACAAAACTTTGTGTAAAGCGGTGCGCGCGAGGGGGAAGGGTATATATACACGCGCCTCTGCCTCGCTCCGATATAGCAAATACGTTTGGCGCAGCTCCAGAACGGAGGTTTTTCCAGTAGTAGGTAGTGCGCGCGCGAGAGCTGGGAAGGATCGAGCCGCATGAGGAATCGCGCGCGTGGCATGAAGCTAACTTCGCGCGCGCTACTACACCTATATACACACACACACACACACACGTTGCACTGACTCGGCTTCTTTTTCGCCGTGAAACCGGCGGCAGGAGCCGAGTAATTGGCTCATAAAACCAGGCTACGTGGCTGCACACACACACGCGCTATATTCGCAACACAGAGAGAATATTTTCGAAAAAAACTCTTCTCTCTCGATCTTACGCGCACGGCAAAGAGGCGAGCGAGCGAGCTAGAGTGAGGCCTCCTCCTCCTCCTCTCTGTATATGTGCGCGCGTAAAACTCGCGTGTGTGCAGCGCGCAGCATTTTCGATGATGGATGAAGATTAATTCTCTTTTGTTGATGATACGCTTTGGGCGCGCTCCGTTGCCGCCGCCGCTGCTGCTATTTCTCCTTATTTTTCTCTCGTAAAATGTTTTCTCTCCCTCGACTCGAGCCCAAGAGAGCAGCAGAGCCTCCACTATCCTGCACACTCACACGCGTATCAGAATCTTCTGGATCATGAATAGAGACTAGAGAGAGTATTAATAATGCACGCAATGATGGAACGTGGAGCGCATATTATAAACTATGCGCCCACAGCGCGGCGCGGCGTGGCGAGTAAAGCAAAATATTCAACTTTGACATTAGATTGGATGGGTGTTTAAGTAAGTGCACACGGGTTATAAGGCAGAAAAAGTTGAACGTTTTGCGAGAGTGAGCTTGTGCGCGCGCGCATACGACGACGACGAGCTTCGCCCCACAAAGAGAGCAAAAAACTACCCTCAACCCCGAAAACTTTGCTCGCTCTTGCTTAATAAGCTCCTTTCGTTATACGGCTAAATATTTTCATACTATCGGCCCGGGGTATCTATACGCGTTTTTCGAGCGAGCTCTCCTTCGTATATAAAGACAGTTCGGAGCTTCTGCGCCACGACCATTAAGTACAGGCACGCACACAGACAAACACGATGCAACGCAGGTGCACATACACACATAGTATAAATGCACGTGCAAGTAGTAAGTCCATAGAATGTATTCGAGCACACATGCGGAAACGGCAAGTCTTGCAACATATGTTCTCTCGCGAGCGGAGGCCGTGTATAATGTTACAAGATTGCCATACGTGAACACGCATATTAGTGCGAGCAAACGCAAAAGACACATTCAACTCATAAATTTGCCTCCCCGACCCCCAGAAAGAGCAAACGCGAGACTTTGCCAGTGTGTACCATCCTCGCGCGCCAACCTGTGTTTTTGAGCTGCGAGGATGAATGTGGAAAGGCAAAGAAGGAAAAAAGAAAAATTAGCGATGCGCGCTTTTATCGATTTTAAAAAAACTCCTCGTATGAAAACCTAAAAAATTCATTGCCGAGCTTATTCAACAGATATTACGGTGTTATTTTTAGACATGACAAATAAAACTAATGGCAGGATAAATTTTTTAGTACGAAAAACGCATTAATTAAGGATATGCATGGGTTAATAATATTTATTCGTAATTGAATACAAAAGTGCATGATGTCACTTACATAATGATAAAGTCTTATCACAGTCAGTTTCCATAAATCTCATACAACCGCACGATAATCACAATCAAAAGATTTGAACACAATATTATACTCCGAAGAATTACACCTTTTTTTTATTAATGTACACACGAACTATTCGTCAGATATCGTTACACAATTTGACTCGGTCAAAAATTAAAAGGTATAAATCCAATGGTTTTTGAGTTTTTAAAAACTCATAAAAAATGAACGTCACGGAATTTCAAAATATTAATTCAACCTATGATAACGATCGATGTATCAATCATTCGTGGAGAAGAAAAATTAAAAAATTATAGTTATCATGTAGATGTATGATAAAGAATTTACTTGCATGGTAGTATACACCTTATTATGCATTATTAACCACATCATAGATATTTATTACTGATTTGATTTCGATTGATCGTGCAATGACTGCATATCTCTCTTACCTTTGTAAAAATAATTAAATATACGCTGAATGCACACTGAATTTTCAATTATGAGTTTGAAAATTTTTTTAGTTTATTTAAATTAAAACGTTTATAAATGAAATGAAGAATAAACAAAATGTAAGTATAAAAAATAAATAATTAAAACATTCGTTGTTATTACATCATTTATATTACATAGCTTCGTTCACTAAACACATCTTTTACGCAAATTCATTTATTTGATAAACATAAAAATGCTGAGAACCTCTAGATTTATATAATTTTTTTTCATAGTACATGTAATAACCAAGAGTTTCAATGTTTATGCATATAATCATGCAGATGATTTTAAGTACTTTATTTAATGTTTTTTTATTTTTTTTTTATATAAACATCAACCTTTCGTTTCAAATACATCGTGTTATAAATTTATTTCAAAATGCTCCACTGGCTAAACTACCGATAACCCAGAAGATGGTTTATTTGATATGTTACAAAAGAAAAACGATATGCAACAGTAAGTTTTTTTTAGAACATCGATATAATTATTTTTATTATAAAATTGCACGAGTCACTTTGGATATTTGCGTACTTAGCATTTCTTAATTTTAAATATTAAATCTAGCACATTCTACGTAAGTTATGCTGCGTAAACACGGGCCAGTAAAGGAGTCGGGGATCGAACTCTATTGATTTTTCGTTGCAATAATATGAAATGATTGAATCGTCAAAGGCTAATTGGCCAATAAAGCAACAATTAATAAATTGAGTGATCAGTTTTGATTTTAATGATTAATTTTAATACTCTATTGAATGAATCTGAGATATTGTTTCAAATGTCATCGATATTAGAGTCAGCCTCGTGGATAAACATTTTTTCGTATTCTAAACTTCTAATATTCCGTCACTATCGTCGCATCGTCGTCGTCGTCGTCGTCGTCGTCGTCGTCGGGAAGTTATCAATACATATACGCTTCATGATTTTCTGGTAATTAGAGTACGGCAACTTCGTTAGGGGGCATGTTTCGACCACTTATACAGCTTGTTAGATTCATTCAGTCGAGCCACATTCACGCGGTAAACTGTCAAACATTGTCTAAGTATTTGGAATCATGCGTACACGGCAGTGTGTGTGTGTTTCGTTAATTAAACTTATATAGCGAGAGGTAATAAAAAAAATTGATCGGCAGTAATCGATGAGAGCTTTAATTAGCATATTCACAACTAATGATTCACTTCTTGTTCGTTTGAAACTCAATTAATTGTCTCTTTTAATTGGATGGGATCTCTTGGGCGACGACTCGCGGGAGTTATAGCCGAAATCATTCGCTCGTCGCAGCGTCGATCATACAGCGAGCTCAGCTACACGCGAATCGGCTTTAACGCAACCCGATAAAGTCCAAGTGCTGAGCGTATTCGTCCTCGCTGAGCACGTCCTCGTCGTCGTTGTCGTCGCTGTTCGAGGCGCCGTCTTTTTCCTCCTCGGCAAAGTCGAACTCGTTGGGCGTGGAGCGCTTTCGACGTTTGGTGGTCGGCTCGCTGGCCACCTCGATGCAGAGCAGGGCGAGCGTATTGTCGCACGGATAGCGACGCTGCTCGAGAATTTGGCCGCTGGTCAGCGGCGAGCCCAGGCCGTATCTGTCGGCGCTCGACGAATGCCATGCGTCGCAGTACGTATCCATGGCCCGCTCGCCCTCTGCATGCGAGCCGTGCCAAACGACTTTGTCCGGCCTGCCAGAGAGAATATTAACTAATTCAGTTTATGCGGGGGGTTACAAACGTGTATGCAGTAAGTGTGCGCGAGTCCCGAGTATACAGGACACCAGTCGACCTAGTATGTCTAATTTGTCACTGGACTTGGCATTCCATGAATATTTCCATCGAATCGACAGAATACTTTATTCTCTTTAAAATAGAGTTTCATGCGGCATATACGGAATTATGGGAGAAATGTCGTAAATGCAATAACAATAATACATTACCACGTGTAATCCGTGATGACGTTCTTTCCATTAAAGCTGTAGATTCTCGAATTGGGTGAGAAGTATGCCCCGCGACCGCTGAACATGTCCTTCCACGACTTGAATAGGACGTCGCCCTGTGTGCGATTTTTTTTCACATATTCCATATTACTTATTACGTGTCCGTCGAAATTTAACGACGTCAATTTGACGACGTCGAGAGGGGTCAAAAAGAAAGAAAAAAAGAAGAATGGACTTATCTGTGTCATACCTTGATATTCACGATGGGCAAATCACGATCGCTTATCCTGACAATGCTGTCGACGTTTTGGACGCGCGAGCTGAGAAAAGCTCGAAAAGTGCCCCTTAATCCGGCACGTCTCGATTGTCGATAGCACGAGTAATCAGCGCCCCGTATGCCGTGCAAGTCACCGGTGAACGGCTCGTTCAGGGCGGCCATCCTCAACTGAATCAAGGTGTGAAAATTGGCCATTTGTATAGGAGGGCGATGATTCGGTGATAAAAAAAATATAAAGTAAACGATGTTGACGCGATTAACTTTTGACGAATATATATAAATTGGACAGTTCTCTCGCTTGCAGGTACTTATTTACGTATATTAATTATAAATTAATTAAAAACACCTCTTCATAGAGACAGAGCGTATTGGTATAGTTGAATCTCATTGATTTAATAAACAAATTAAATAAATGAAAAGACTTATACACTTATTACAAAAAGAGAGCGGGAGAGAGAAATATTCATCAAGAGCTAATACACGTTAATTAAGTGAAAGATTTACTTTACCATTTTGGGATACCACTGAGCAGCCGATGAATGTTAAAAGTTTCGTTCATTAAAGCGAGTTAGCCTTATATAGACACAAGAGAGAGAGAGAAGAAGAAACTGAAGCACAATGCTAATGAATACTTACGGCGCCACCGTTATCCGTTTTAATGGGGGATTGATTGATCAAATTGGACGACTCGAAAGGCGGAACGACGGAGGGCGATACGCTCGTCGAGGGAGCAGGTGTCGTTATCGGCAAAAGTGTTCCGAGCTGTGTGGTGGTGTTGTGAGCGCCGCCGCAACAGAGAGAAATTCATTACGCGTGATAAAAGATTTCCTCGGTTAAATTCACCAATTTATGTTATTTAGTGTACAGATGCAAGACTGGGCGCGAAACAATTTCACGGCCTGTTACTAACCGGAATGTACTGCCAACCGTTGTTTACACGGACCAGTAGCGCTTGCTCGTCTATGATGTAGGCCAGTGTACCAACGGGACTCACGGCGGACATCTGCAAGACGTGGAGATAGGAATTAGAGAGTGATTTTTTTTTACAGAGTTGCGTTCGCACGGGTGGGCATGGTTGCAACTTACCTTTATCATGGCTTCGGCGTTTTGGAAAGTTACGGCCCCGGGAACGATTTTCGTGGTCGGCTCGTAAGAATTCTTCGATGCAGCTGAGTTAGATCCTGCAATATTAGTTACTTTGATCGTAAAATTCACGTTCGGATGTTTCAAATTCAACAACAATGATATAAATCATAATAAAAACTCATGCTACTTAAATTCTTCTCATTACTTATTATAATAAAAATTAACAATTATAACTCGTGCCAGAAATCATCTTTTTTTACTAAAAGAAAACACAAGATAATTCACAACAGCTAAAAAAATTTGCATCGCAAAACAGACTTTGAAAAAATAATGCACTAGGGTTCAGCTGACATAATCTTACCTAAATGTTCTTTTAGTTTAAGCTCTTTCAACTCTCGCAAAGCTTTAAGTTCGTCCAAGCTGCTCCTTAATCCTATGCGACGTGCAATATTCATTATTATTTTGTACCATTACACGAAATTTAACTCGAAATTCCACATTCGCGTGTTTTCTTTGCTTTTTTTTCTGTCCACCTCTCTTTGTCAGACTTTGCGCGCCCGCGCGCGAGAGTAATGAGAAAGAGAGTGTAAAAATATATAACTTCGGAAAGGCCAAATTAGTCGGTAACACGTGTACGAAACTTAGCATGTACGAGTATAATTAATCATTCATTCCACTCACCCTGTCGAGAGCCGTAATAGTCACGCTCGCCATAAATATGGCTTTTGCCAGCTCCCCCGCCTCCTCCCGAGTGCGGGGGACCCGGTGGTCCCGGCGGACCTGGAGGACCGGGAACTGGTATGTAAGTTCCTTGTATGGCCGGTCCAGGGGGTCCGGGTGGCCCTCGATGGCCGTCTCGGCCGGGTGCACCGGGTATGCCGGGATAACCGACGTCGCCTTTGTCCCCTTTTTCGCCTTTGGCCTGTACGAGGAAATTTTTGATTTTTTTCTTGCTATCCATAATTTGCGAATATATACAAAAGAATTGTGATTTCTTACGCTAAATCCTGAACCGTAAAAATTAGCGGGTTCACCTTTTTCACCCTTTGGCCCAGGATTGCCTGGAATGCCGGCTGCTGCTGATCGGCCCTGCGATAATTATTTCAAAGTAGATGAATATTCAATACGGATATACAGACATACGCACCGGCTCTGTAATTTAACTTACCTTCAAATTATTCTGATCGATGCATGAAATTGAATATTATACATTAGTTGAAATTCAAATTTTGGTTAATATTAGACGGGTATAATTTCATTTCGTTCAAAAATCGTTTAAATATTCATGACAGTTCAGCGAAAGAGAACTAATAAAAGAAAAACATCCAAACTAAACAACGAATGCCTCCGATATACATGCAATTTGAAGAAAACACTCACGAGCCAAGTAGGAAGGGCCATTTCGGAAAACGTTCCGGGCTTTCCTGGCGGGCCTTCCGGTCCTGGTGGTCCTGGCCTACCTCTGCGGCCGCGTTTACCTTCGGCTCCTTTTTCACCCTTAATGGTCACGTAATCGCCCGAGCCTGCGATCGCGGTCACTCCGGGCGGGCCTCGCTCGCCTCGCTCGCCCTTCGAACCGGGCGTTCCCGGAAATCCGGGTGTGCCGTCCTTACCTTTTATCGTACAAAGATATACGTAATATTACGAATGTCAAAAAAAACAAGCATTAAAATTAAAGTTACCGATATTTTTTTACATGAAATTATCTAAAGAGCACAAAAAATGCACAAAAACTTAATTATACATTCTTTTTAACACAAAAATAAAAAAAAGTTCCATTTCTATTCTCAAATTTAAACGTTCTGATTGTAAATAAGATTTTTATGACTGCTTTACTTTTTGCTTCAATTTATTGAAAAATGTATGAAAACTCAATCATAATTTGAGTCAGTCTCTACCGCTAGATGGTGAGTACCTTTATCCGGAAGTGTGCGAGTGGCAAAGTCAAAATAATTACATAAATCAAAGCATACATTGTAAGAATTTTACGAATGGTTTGTTAATCATCTTAAATTTGGTGTTAAATTCATGTGAAATGATTCATAAAAAAATTGTTTCATTTCAATGCTTTCACGTGAAATTGATTTCATCTACGTGGAAAGAAAAAATTTCCTCCACTTTTACATGAATTGAAATGAAATATTTTTAAGAGTAAATTTTTAAGCGAAAATTACCAGGCTCTCCTTTATTTCCTTGCGGCCCTTGAACTCCGTTTACGCCTGGTATGCCCGACGCCCCCGTTTCACCTTGATCACCTTTTTCGCCTTTGAAACCCATGTCCCCTTTATAACCTCGTTCACCGGGCTCGCCCTTTATAACTCTCAGAGCCGAATCTATCAATTTTAATGAATCACTCGTTATTTTATGTGTCACTATATATAGCATAAAAAAGTGAGTGGCTTACCGCAAGCCGAAATCGATCGCACTTACCGCCATTGACGAAAGTACCGCCACCGATGCTCGCCGGGCCCGGCGGTCCAGCGGGTCCGGGTTTTCCCTCCGGCCCGATATCACCTTTGGCACCTTTGTCCCCTGTACGGCCGGTCTCTCCGCTGGCACCCGGCAGTCCCGGCGTGCCCGGCGCCCCGGGCTCGCCTTTGATGCCTTGGTAGCCTCGAGAGCCCTCCTTGCCGTGATCGCCTTTCGAGCCTTTGTGACCCATGTCGCCTTTGATACCCTTTGCTCCGTGCACTCCCGGTTCGCCTATATATTTTGGATAAATAATGTATAAAATCGTTTATAAGCATCCCATTGATTCTGTGAAAAATCGTGGGATTACCCTTCGGGCCGGGATGACCGGGTTTTCCATCGTCGCCTTTTTGTCCGGGCAGGCCAGGTCTCATTGTGTAACCGTCGGTCTGTTAAATAAAAATTTCACATTTTATCGCCGGAAATTAGCTCTTGCCTTTTTTAATACGATGAATGTTTTCGAGCATATATTAGGCTTTATAAGGAAAACTAGAAAACAAAAAACGATATCTATTATATCTACTCGGTTACTTCGGGGGGTAGTTTGGAACTTAATTTAACATTTGCTCGTAGCAAAAGATAAGCCATCGTACAGACTTAGCATTGTTTTCTGGAGAATGTTACGAAAAGCCGGGCCTCCTTTTGTTACTAATAACGAAGAGCTCGAAAACTTTGTCAGTTAGCTTAGGTCTATAAAACGGCAATTCCAAAGCTTGCGCTCTTATATACTTACCCTATAGATAGCTCGGGGCTTCCAACTGGGCTGCATGCGCATAACGTTTAATGTGTTTAACGTTAGTCAAAAGGCCTAGGCCCTCTCTTGAGAGAGCACATCAGCCAACAGATGGACGGACGGACGACTAGGATTTGGTCGAAAAGTGGGCAAAACGTCGACGCATTAATTACTTTTTGAATTCGTATCGTTCGAAGCGTGAAAATACCCTCGTTTTGTGCATAAGCAGCTACACAGTGATGTTTTGACAGATAATTGCGGAAAAATAATCCCCCCTAACGATGCTTGCATGCAATAAGCATTGATTCGCCGTGAGTTCCAAAATACCTTGCCATTCAAGATTTAACGAGCTAGTTTCACTTTAACTCGTTTCGCTCCCTATATCCATACTACATCCTCGATTCACGGGCCTGTTTGCTTAATAATCAAGCGTAGAACTGCCAAACGTTACCCAGTCGCAGCTAGCTCTAGCAGCAGTAGACTAGTGAATTTAGCGGCAGTGGTACATGTATAGCCTGGCATAGCCCGTCGTGCCAGAAAGTTTTGAACGTGCTCTGTTGCCCATGATAATTTACCTAGTCTCTTGTATAACTTTATTTTTCTTTTCTATCTTTTTTTTCAACGACGACGTCGACGATTCCCTGATTGCTCAACAGCTTGATGTATGATTTTTAGTACTAATTTCGCGAAAACTTTAATTAGAACGACAAAAAAATGTTGGAAAATTATTTCTTCAAATAGTTGAGAGACACTTTTACTTTACTTTGGCAGAAGTTTAAAGGATGCTTTAGAGATGGTGACGATTACAGGTGTACATATGGTCGATGCTCTGTGAAATTGGATGGATAAGAAAAAATTTTTTTTGCTGGTATAAAAAATTTGTGGTTTTTAATGTCATACATGTTCCAAATATTTTTGAAATGGTTTCCAACTTTAATTAAAATCCTGGGGCGGGCTATGGTTTCGTTTGCAACTAAAAGTCAATGAATAAAAACTATTCAGGCCAGTGCAATTTGACCCCAAAGTATGTTTCCACTGAGATAAAAAATGCCAATTTGTTGAACATTTTGAAGAAGGCATAAAAAACGCGCTCAAGTGCATTCAGTATCAGAAATAAACACTTGGAATATAATTGAATATTTTTTGTAAATGAGGACCATGTCATCGAGTTATTTCGGATCGACTATTTTTATTGTGAGAAACATTAGAATTTGATACTCACGAGGTTATCATATAAGCAATATTTTCTAGCTAATGTGATAATATTCAATACAGTATACTTTTTGCAATACATGATTTTGAGAGAGTACCAACTTTGGGCATCTGAAAAAGAGTGATAGGAGGTCCGAAATATTTTAACAAAATTTGGAGACTCGTTTGATATCAAAAACAACTAGTTTTTCATATCCATAGAAAAAACAATTTTTGATCTTTCAAATTCACGACAAATCAGCCATGTATATAACCGAGTACTCACGAATCCTCGGTCTGACGTAATTCAAGGTAAAATCTTTTTCCCCACAAACAACGGCACATATTCAATAGAACGAGTTAACGTTCAAAAGGGACTAAATAGTCATTCGGTATAACGCAAGAGAAACCCCCTAACGCGAGCACAATGACGTTTTCTTGTTTTCTGCATAAAATTGCATTTATGTATATTTTTGTGCACGAAAACCAAAAGCGAGACAGCCAACTTGATTTCCCTTAGGATGTTCAAGAGAGAGAGAGAGAAAGAGAGATCTAGAGCGAGGATGCAATTCTCGCAACTGCTTCTCTTGCGTGTGCTCGCTCGCGGCCCCATCTTCATACTTATCCTTTATTTGGCTTTTGTTGCCACGCTACACGTTACTCTACATAAAATCTCCATTGAATATATTCCATAGCTATTTTGCGAGACGAAAAAAAAAGAAAGATATAAAAAAGGTCGCAGATTTTTCGCTCTTTTAGTGTCCGCGTGCGGTGCGTTAATATGAATTTTTCATCATTTCGCATCAAAATTAACGGGATTATTTCTCTCTTTTTTTTGCTTCTTGTAGTTTCAGTGTAAACCTGGCAAATTTATAATTTTCAAATGTTGCCGTGTTGACATTTATCGTCGCGAATAAATTAGCACTTAATTAACAGTAATGAAGGGTAAAACATTCTGGGCTTTAAGCGTATTGCGCAAATTAAGGATAAAACTTATTACAAAAAAACAAGTGTTTTCGAAAAATTTGACAGATAAAAATTAAAATCGCGTTTGAAAAATGTAATTTAAAAAGTAATTTGAATGTATTATATTACAAAATATTAATCAAAGGAATGTTTTCGTAAGGACGTCGTAGTGAAAGTTATCGCAACATTATTAAGTCAACTCCCTGCAGTATACATTTTTTAAATATCATCGTGCTTGGAAACAATTTATTCATCTAATAATGTCTTCCCAGTCTGATTATTTTAATTTCGTTTTGTTGTTGAAAAAAATTGAGCGAAAGAGCTTTCTTTTTGCAGCTGAAAAACGTTAATTAAGCATAGGCAGGGTAGAAAATGGATGCTCCACGCGTGCATATCTTCTTGACGCAAAAAAAATCGCAATGAAATTCACTTCGTCAATCTTGTGGCATTATTTCAATGGCATGCGCGCAGCGACTACAAATAATTAAAGAAGCTTTTGGCATTTATTTAAAGCTTTTATAATCCCATAAAACTTCGAAAATGTGTATGCAACAGCTGCAAAGAGAGTAGCCCCGGCGTAGCGTATGCGTATTATATACGGATGTGTAAATTTCAAACGCAAGTCCGAGCCGAGGCCATTTTTCCATATATATATAAGCTTTACGTTTGCACTCGCGAGCGTTTTGCGTTATGCATGAAGGTTAACCCTTGCCCTTACTCGCGTGGCTACGAGCCCAGCCACTCAACTTATATATAGTAGAAGGTGTATATAGTAGAGGAGAGAGAGAAAGAGAGAACGAAGAGACGCTTATGTACAAAGCGCGAATAAAATATTAAGACACACGCTTAAATGACGACGACGGCAGCTCTCTCTCTCTCTCTCTCGTATCGTTTCTCTCTTTCGTCGTCTCAGGAAAAAAAAGCGAGAGCTCGGAAGCTCTCCACAGGCATATAAGCTGCATAGCCGCACCGCGCGCCGCCGTTTTGTTCATTCTCGTTCTTTCTATACAGATGTATATCTTACGCGGGGTGGCTCGTAGCAGATCTCTCTTTCTCGTTCTCCCGACGCCAAACAGTCTGAATTGTTTCCGCAGGGCAGGGCAGAGACATCAGACTATAAATGCCACTAGCGTCGGGCTCGTTAGCGCGTCTCGCGCGCGAGCAATTGCAATTGCTAAAGGAGCTCGTGATGCTGCTGCTCCGCAAGCTAGCGCGTTCTGTGTATGTATATAGCGCAGCAGCAGCTTATGTGTATAGAGGAGCGTCTGTGCATATATACCCCGAACGTTTGTGTACATTCATATATGCATGCTTTTCTGAACAATAGACAAGATTGAAGATTGTTTTCATTGTTGTAAACATTTCATTGTAACGTTATTTGCGCGTTTCAAATGAAAAATCCGTTCCCCGTACAATGCGTCTTTTGTCTGCCACAGATGAAAGTATATTATAAACTTATAAACTTGGTAATAGCTGCACTATCGTTGAATGGAAAAAAAATTAATAAGTCATACGAACTGTATTTGTAAAAGTGTAGCGAGAGTAAAAGAGAATTTTTTTCCGTTTCGAAAATTCACCGTACATTATTTGATAAGGAAATATCGGTTATGTAATAGACGACTCGCATCATAGATATTTGTACACATACACATACACACGTAAGAAAAAGGCAAAAGAAATACAGCAAGTCGGGGAAAATGCACAGTGCGTGCACATAGAGCTGCACAGCCGCCCATATACGCGAGCCGTACATATATTTGTAGACAAGACAGCGGATATATGCTCTTGGGTTTATATTCCCAATAGAAAGCCGTGTATAATGCGTATGCACACACACACACACACACACACACACACACACACACACATATAGATACGAGGCGCACATCATGTCTATGTATACGTAATGTCCCATTTCCATTCAACAACAGTGCATTTATATCTTACCCTAGAGCTTTTTACGCGTGTGCGCACGTGAGCTTAAATTTTTCCTTTCTTCCTCACCCTTTTTTTGACCCCCTTTTTCCTTTTTTCCTCAACTTCCTCTTTCCCTCTCTTTCTTTCTCTCTCGGTCCGCAGAATCGCGCATGGATGGTAAACGTACAAGTTTCACGAAAGGAAACCGACGAGAGCTTGCGCGCGTTATGCGGTGCATATACATATAATGTGCGCCGCGCACACGGGTAAAGAAAAAAATTACCGCGAGAAGTTGGGTTGAATATGTGCCCAGGCCCTTTACGCCCGCTTGCGTTTGTATATGCTGTGTGCGTGTGTACGCTGCATACATAAAGAGTCTTGAGCATGTGCGCGGGCGAGCGGGCGCGGGTTTAAACACACGCGCGTCGCTCGCTCGCGAGCAAAAGTGCAAAAGAAGCCAAGTCGCACTAATGGATATTCACGGTCCGACGCGCGTACGTACCGCCTGCGGTATACACGGGCGAGAGGTGCAGTAGCAGTAGCAGCAGCAGCAGCAGCAGCAGTTAAAAGCACATTTTTACTCGAGCGCCTCTTTGCGCGCCATCCCATATTCGCGCGTGTGGTAGACACACACATAATCACACGTAGTGTATGTGTTTATTAGCGAGTTTTGAATACACCGGTAACAGCTAGCGATCGTTGCATTTACACACTTGCGTGTATATATAGCGAAGTTTCCCCACCGCCACGCTTTAAACGAGGCAAAAGCTCGACACGTAATTAAGCTGTTCTCCAATTGTTTATGTTTTATTGAACGACCCGGGGCAGCAATTGTCACGATTATACGTATAACGTGCGCTGCTCTACTGTATGTGCGCGCAATTTTGCCCACTTTCGAGGAATGTGCCACGAGAGATACTCTCGGGCTTGAAATTGCACTGCAGTGCGAGGTAAATTACCATGTCTTATGTAAGGTGTAGTTATTACTCACGTCGAAGCTGGAGAAGTCGCCTTTGCCAGGCGGTCCTGGCGGACCTTGAGCTCCTTTTTCTCCGGCTACGCCGTCGCGGCCGGGCTCGCCCTTGGCGCCTTGCGCGCCCTCCAGACCTCGGGGACCCAAGTCGCCTTTGTCGCCCTTCGGTCCGGGTGGCCCGAACTGGCCACGCTCGCCCGGTGGACCTGCCGAGCCCTGTTTCGCAAATAATACGCAAAGCTATTAAAAGAAAGATTTAGCTCGAACGTTAATCTACTTATGGAAATAATTCACAATTTTAAATATAATTTTAGCATGATTTCAGATTCTTTTGTGGAGAAAAAAACGTCATATATATTCAGCACATATCTCTTTCGTAAACTCGCATTAACGGTGTCTCATTCGGTGAATTATATTCCCCTCGCATACTAATTGTATTTTTCATAATTTTTTCTCTCGCTCGGTTCATACTTACCCGCGAATCATAAACGCTTGCGAGAAATGAAAATTCATTTATATATTTTCAAGTTGAAATATACGGCCAGATCGTCCGAGCGATTTGGCTCGATATTTATAATCTCGCATTTCATCGTCATCGCATCATACGTATACAATACCGTTAACCCGAGTGGTCCAGGTCGGCCTTCCTTGCCCGGTGGTCCGGGCTCGCCTTTCTCGCCCACCAGCATCTGCGGCATGATGAACGAATTCATAACCGCGCTGGCGTTGCATCCGCAATCGCCGGGATCGCCTTTAGGTCCGGGCGGTCCTTTCGGCAGTCTCGTTATCAAATCCTGTCACGAGTTTGTTGTACGACGAAAAAAGAAGAAGAAGGAAAAAATTAGAATCAATATTTTTTTCTGCACGAATCTGCGCCATAGCAGCAATGAGGATATACATTATATATATTTGAGATTCACATTTCTTAAATATTCACGCTGCGCACATAAAAGCGTGCTCACGATGCCTCTATAAATTTGCTGCGCGCGCGTGACCTCTTGAATTGATTATTCAAAAAATATGTGTATTTATAACTTTTTATATAAGTTTTATGCGAAAACTTGAGACATTCACGCGAGACTAAAAAGTACAAAAGTTTTTCAAGTCATACCTCATCGTTGAGATCATAGCTTCTGCCAGGCGGTCCCGGAGGTCCTCTCACGCCTTCGCCCTTCTCTCCTTTGTCACCCTTTTCTCCTTTCACCTGATAAGAGGCTGTACGGCCGGGCAGCGCATGGAGAGTAATTTTAAAAAAATTGTCAACTCGTGAAAAACTCGAGCGCAACATAATTCGCATTTAAAAATTTGTACGAGATGTCGCAAGCTTACGATTTGGAATCGGCGCCGGGGTCGTGGCAGGAGTCGCTGGTTTCGCTTCCTCGATGCTGTCTTCGTTGCCTCGGACGATCTAAATATACATATTACATGAATTAGTTGACATTTTATTGAGTGTTTCATTAGTACAAAAGCAGTGGTTAGTATATAGTGAAAATAAAAGAAAACCAACGCGGGCATGCCAGTATCGCATCGAGAGCTAGCAAAAGATCAACCACCACCGATAAAGTTGAAGTTTACCTGTGTGTATACATGCGATTCTTGAGCACAATGCAAAAAATACAAGTGTTTATCTGTATATTAGTTAAAGCCACGCGCGCAGGCAGCATGAGTTTGCACGAAATCAAGTTAAATTAGCGGATGGTGAAAAAAGATTCATGTCAGTCTCTAGAACATCGGTGAGTGAACTAGTAAAAAAGCTCTATTAAACGTCAAAAATTTTCTAAAAAAAAGCAGAGGAAGTACGCGACAAGAAATCGTGTGACACTGACGATCGAGTGTACGTCGAGGTTGTCGTGTGCCAAGAATCCTCCACTTCTCTCTCTCTCTCTTCCTCTTCCTGTATTTCCCTCTCTCTCCCTCTCTTGCTCTGTACAGTCTCTATACGAGTACTTGGCTTCTGACAACAGTCTGAGCATATATACACACGGAGAGCAAGAGAGAGAGAGAGAGAGAAGTTCGTGTATGCTCGACCGATAGAGAGAGAGAGAGAGAGAGAGAAGTTCGTGTATGCTCGACCGATAGAGAGAGAGAGAGAGAGAGAGAAAGGCTTGTCCCTTCGCAGCTCGAGCTTTACGTTTAGAACGGAGTTTCGTGAATTTTTAATGTTCGATTTTCTCTACGATCGAGCTGCCCTCGAGTCCCTGGTCTTCCTTTCTACGTCCGTTTCTCCCAGCGATGTATGCATGCGCAGCTGCTATTTTCCGCCAAACAATGACGCCACTAGCATAAGGATTTTTCCCATCCTTTTACTTGGTAATCGTGAATGGATATTGCAAGTACAAATTAAATGCGTTACATTAGATTTGGGAGTTCGAAAAGCTACACGTAATGTAAAATGTGCTATTGGCGAAATACTTTGGATATATTTTTAGATTTTACACGAAGAGAAATATTGTATTGAATATTATCAGAAAAAGCTCTCTGTTTAGATCTCCTCCGTTAGGTGGCGTCTATGTGACCCACCGCAGTTCCCGCATGAAAGCGAGTAAGTCTGCAGGCATATAAGCCAGCATGCTCTCGTGGTATTATGAATTTCGTGATTATGTATTATAACTCCTGGAGGCATCTCCTGGAGTTCAATGGCTGGAAGGCCTGGCCTTCGATTACAAATTCATATAAAATGCATTCTACAGAATCTAACCGCCAGAAGTGAAACTTCAGAGTCCTTTATTTCGGTTGAATTTTAATTTTGAAATTTTCATGAACTTTTCTCGATTTCGAATTTCTGTTTTTGAATTACATTGTGACTCGTTTGAACTTCAATTTGTTGTATTTCTTTGACTTGTTCTGACTTTTTTAGAATTTTTTAACTTACAACACTCGTACTTGGGCGCCACTAAATAATTGCAAGCTACTGAACGACCAATCACAGCGCTTATAAACTGCTCACGCTCAAAACCTCACCACTCTTAAAGCATAGGATTATAGGATAGGATAGGATAGGATAGGATAGGATATTTCGAAATTTGTATTGTATTGGAACGAAATTGATCATAATCGGAGCTTTGTGATTTCATCAAAAGATGGAGCATTGTAAATCCGCAAGTGGCATAACGACGTTGTAAGTACAAAGTATCGAAGACGTGCATTACGTATTTTATGTAAGGTTCATATGTTGTTCCTGCATACGTAATGTGTGTAATAATATTTAATAAAATATTTCTCTCTGTGTCAGAGGTTCATTTTTAATTTTTAATATCAAACAGTTATCAACTAGCAGTAAATTTAGTCGCGCAGTTATGAATGTAACACAGATCGCTTGATAGATCACTCGTGAATTTATGTATCTATACGCGCAACAATGGGTCACATGCATACGTAAGTGTATGTGCATGCTATACACAGTCGCGCAGTCATCAAGGAATCGATATGATAAACGAGGCTAAGAATTATAGAGGTCAAACATTTAATGTGGGAACATTTCCGGTGTACATAGATATATATAATATTGGATATACACGTATTACACCGCGGCGGCCCTCGTCGACTAGAGAGAGAGAGAGAGAGAGAGAGAGAGAGAGAGAGAGAGAGAGAGAGAGAGAGAGAGAAAAGGCACTGCAGACTCTAGTGATTAATACACTCGCAGAGTGCACACAGCTCCGACTACTACTGTCCAGTCAGAGAGTAAAAGAGAGAGAGAGAAAGAGAGCTGCGCAGAGAAAGCTCGAAAATAAACGCTCGCAACGCTTCCGCAGACGGAATAAGCCCTGATATTTGGTCGCGGCGCGGTACGCGCGCGCTAAGTGTTTTTCGATAATTGTCCATAACGAGCCGATAGATTTGGCTGCCGTTATCATTTCGCTTCCTCCCTCTCGTGTGGCCTGCGCATATAGATGTATAGAATAGATATATAGATGGTTAGCCGCTTTCGAGAGCCTGAGGCCGGGACCGGGGCTGTGTGTGTGTGTGCTGCTGCTGCACGTTTAATTTTTCAACTGCTAATTAATCGACAACAAAAAAGACTGTCGAGAGAGCTGAGAATCGGAGCCAGAGAGTGAGAGCAAATGTAATTTTAATGCCTCCAACCTTCCCTCTGTACGTGTGTGTGTGTATATATCCGAAGACAGACAAAAAAACGGCCTGGCAGAAAAAATAAGAAAAACAAGCGTTACACGTGTTGTCGGCATTACCGGGAGGGTCATAGTCGGTCGTGTACCCAGTATTACGTGCCATACACGTAAGCACGCTCACACGCACGAGACGCGCACGGCGGCCGCGTCATTTATTGGTATAAATCAGGATAATGAAGGCTCGTGTCCTGTGCGCGCGATACACGGCAGCAATTCCGCATGTAGCACACACGCATATAGTCATCATCGGAGAAAAAAGCTCACGCGCAAGCTCGCAAGCACACGCGTGTATATAGGGGTTCGCGTACAGGTAGTTATGAATATATGAAGCAGCATCAGCCCCGCCGACGAACCGCGTCGATCATCGGTGCACATCGCGATGGCGCGTGAAAACGCAAATTTGCCTCGCTTCGGTATACGTCACCTGCTTGCCGTGTATATACCTAATACCTATACGTAGACACACGCAAATTGTATATATACTGCTCCTACTACTACTATCAACCGCTACTCTTGCTATGTGTAATCCATGGCTCGCGCGCGCGTAAAATAATGAAATCAATCAATCAGTCGGTTGTGTGTCACACGTGCACAGTGCGGGCAGGGCTACTCTGGCTTTCGTGTATAAGCAACATTTCAACAACGCGCCCGCGCGCGGGGGGTTAGCTACAGTGTCGGACTGCAAATAATTAATGTTTCCTCTGTCGCGCTTCAGAGTGCCGCGCACCCACACACACACACACGTACATACAATGTATAGAGAGAGCAATAAATATGTATATATGCTATATTTACAGGTGTAGCCGCCGTGGTACGGTGTACGTGTGGCAAATTCACAGCAATGAGACTTTGACACGTATTACAAAATAAACGCCGTCGCCACACGCGGCGCGCACACACACGCATAAACACACACACAGCTGCAGTTTTTACTTATTGAAATGTCCAGCGGTGTGACGATCGCATGGCAGCTACACACGTAAGCGCGCGATAATAGCAGCGAGTCTATCCGTCAGTCCACCGCCGCTGCTGCTGCTGCTGCGTGCAGCGTGCGCGAGCATATGTACATAAATCAGCGACACGACGGCGTGGCGTTTCAACGAGTGCTGGAGTACTAGAAAAAAGCGCATTCTGCGCGTAGCGCAAGCTCTCTCTCTTTTTGACGTTTCCGTGAGCTTTGAGTTGTTCTCTTTTTTCTCTCTCTCTCTCTTTTTTTTTAGCGGTTAAGGTAGCAGTAGCGCAAGCGGCGCGCGAGCTATCTACTCCGGCAAATGAGAATAAGTATTCTTCAAAGACAACGCGGAAACAACGACTTGAGAGAGAGAGCGAGTCGGAGCCTTTGTGGGACTGCTATATACTGCTGCTGCTGCTGCTGTGCAGCTCGTTCGTTTCGGCCCGCATATACTATATAATATACAGTACACGCCAGGCGCGTGCTATACCTACACTCCTTTCTCTCTCTCGCGCGTTACCCGGCTTATACCGCAAAACGACTTTACCTTATATACGCTCACTTTGTGAATGCAGACGCGCGCTCGCGTCTGGTTAAGGTACAACTGCACGCACATATGCTTGTGCAAGAGTGTATGTGTGTGTTATATACCATGACACGCAAGTGCGTCAGTGCGTCGCTGCGTGTGTGTAAGTGTGGATGATGTGCGCGGTAGTAATTGGAAATATAACGCGTACACTGCCTTACACGTGTTTCGGCGGCGGCGGGGTTAATAAGAGCAACTTCATTTGCAAAAGTTATTAACGCGCGTTAAATTTACGAAGAGCCACGAAAATTGAACTAGACGCGCACCGCGCGGTGGCGGCGGCAGCAGACACGTGCGGAATTGGTACCAGTATATAGCGGGAGCAAACGGTGCATGTAGCAGCCGAGCTGCCACTGCGTTATTGCCGCTGCCAAAGCTGCCGCTGCTGCTACTGCTACTGCTACTGCCACTGTCGAAAAGCTTCTCGCAATACGTACAACACAGACCATACTTTATAGATACATCTGCAAAGTAGTGGTAGTATGGTAGCGGTATACGTATAGTAGTATGTAGTAGAGCCCCTTTTAGTTTGAATTTGCAAAAGGGAGGGGTAAGAGGCTAGAAGCTGCCGCTGCTGCTGCGGCGGCGACTGAGTCGATAAATTACGCAAACGAAGCTGCACATCGTATACACTTTATACATACGTACGCGTATACGTATAAGCGCATACATAGAAACACACACTAAGCGCATAGAGATCGAGCAGTAGTATATAGTATATATACGTGAGCTGAGCGCCTAGCGTTAGCTTGTGTATGCACTTCGACTCGTCTCGCACTCCACACATACACAAGCAGCAGCGGCGGCAGCCGCTCGTATACACTTAGTCTGGTGCGCTCTATCTAACCAGCAGCCCCGAGCGCGCGCGAGGTTTTCGAATTTCGCGAGATAATTAGCTGCTTAGCTGCATTGTACATGCAAATATATTTGCCCTGTGTATTCTCCGTGTATATGGATACACAAGCCCCGCGCGCCCTCGAACCGACAGGGTGAGAAAAGCTCCTTGCGGATTAATATTGTTGACTCGACGAGCAGCAGCGCGAGTATTTTGTCGATGTTAATTGCATAGAGCTCGAGCACAGGCTGAGCTGCACGCCTTGAGCTGCTACTTGTGAGCTTGCGAAATATTGCATGGGATGTAAAGATTCGATGAAACTTGCGCCCGATCCCTTTGGCTTGAAATACACCATGAATAGTTTAAGGAATAAAAAATTTAAAAGGTTGACGAAAGAAAAAGATACGATATCTAAGTTAAATATAGTTAAAGTTATTCGATTGACATAGCTTGGGATGGAGGATTTATTTTTCGTATATCTCGCCACTTTGAATTGAATTTGAACTTTTTCGATGAAGACTTTATATTTTTTAAATGCAGCCGAACGCGCTCAGCGAGGACCTCATGAAGTATTTTTATCTTAAATTCATTCCAATGAAATTTCACACCGATCAACTCGATTTCACTAATCAAATTTTGTATTAATTTTTAAGTACGTGTCACATGGGATTGAATTTAGATGGAAAATTATCTAAATGTGAATTTTTTTTTAATAAAAATAGCCGAAAGAATCTTCACTCGTTGGTTAGTGCAGTTTTAGAACTACTGTAATAGTTATGAAAAAGAATCGAAAGCAAAGCTGCGAGTTTTTTTCTTTTCTTTTTTTAGTCACAGATCAGTAATCGCTCTTGAGCATCAAACCGGGCGAATTCCTGGCACGTTCTTTGGCACGCGCAAGAATACAACTCACGGGTACTCCGTAGGGACTGATTTCTTCTAAGTCACTAAATAAGTCGACGTCTTCATCTCCTGAACCATCTCCCGAGAAATACTAGATAAGAGCAAAGGAAGAAAAATAAGAAAGAAAAAAATGTAAGTATAAAGGAAAATCAATGTTCGGTCGTTAAAGCACGATAACGATATATTCTCGAGAGACTCGTTACAAATATCCCGGAGCAAATGGAATCATTTTTATTCACATACTTGGAATTTCTTCCCCGGTATTTGCCTCGTAACACGTTATACCCGGCATAATATATACGTAAGTCAAATCCGATCGAAGCCCTGTACGTGCACCCCTTCGTTATAAGTACGAGTCTCGGCGTCCAAGTCGTCAGCGTCGTTTTAAACAGAAGTTGAACGTATAGTTGCAGTCACTGAGATTTTGTTTAACGTTAAAGGTTCCCCCGGTCCGAAATTATTATTTGTTTCGCCGAGAGTGAAATTGATTTTCATAAATAGAACGCTTCGTTTCGTTGATAACTTGGAAAATTTCCCACGCACTGCACGCGTCTCTCTCTCTCTCTCTCTCGCAAGCAAGCGAACAAATTGAGCAAACTTTTGTTAAATTCATAGCAACGAGTCGTGCACGAGCTAACTGAAATCGAATAAAACATCGTTAAAAGTTAACAGGAGCAAATTTTCGGGCAATCAATATCGATTGAGTCAATACACGACGTTTTAAAAGTATGCGTATATTTTTCCTTGACTGTTTTGTAGCATTCGAAACGAGTATCTTTTCATTTTGCGACTCTCCAGGACTCTTCATTTACAGAGAGAGAGAGAGAGAGAGAGAGAGAGAGAGAGAGAAAATTTATATATAACGTTGAAAAGTTTTTTTTTGCTGCAGAAGCAGTAGCAACCGTGTCAGACGTATCGCACGCGAGAATCTTACACTCTAAAATATTGTGTCAATGTCGACTCGCGTCGGGCGCGCGCGCGCGCGAGCAAAGGAAACTTTCTTGACGAAAAAAATAAAGAAAAAAAAATAGAGAAAAAAGAAGCGCATTCAGAAAACGTAAAAACACTTGAGGTTGTCGGAGGTCTGAAGAGGTGCAGTGCGATATTGAGATGAGAGAAGCGAAGAAAAATATACGCAGTTGGTGAGCGAGAGAGAGAGAGAGAGAGTGTGTGTGTATCGTGTTGAGAATCTTTTGACACAGGTGTTTTTCTTTTTCTTTTTTTTTTGCTTTGCTTTTTTTCATCTTATATACGTATACACATACATACATACAGCATTCGCGTGGCAAATCCGAGTTTCATTTCAACTTGTGCCATCGAGAGAGTACGTATACACAGTAGTTCCCGCGAGATTACAGCGTTTATAACTTGGTAAATTGTGAAATTTTGTCGGATCGTATCGGACGTCAAAGCCGGAAATGTTTTTGAAATACGACGGGGGAGAAAAATAACATTTTTAAAAATATTTGCTCATTACTTTGTAAATAAAAAATTGTTGGTACTTACGTTAAAGTCTTCATTGCACTTGACGAGATCTTGAGGATATCCAATGTGTAATTTTAACGTTTGCACCAAGCCCTTCAAATGAGTCATTAATATGATTAAAAATTTGATAATTCGTAAAATTTTATGAAACAATTTTCACATAGTATATTATTTCGATGAATGTTTGAAAATCAGAAGAGACGACTGGAGCGCCGTAATTTTCGACGCTCTAAGCAAAATATCACAATTTTTCTCTACTTCCATCGGACCGTTTGCTCGTATCCGATCGAGAGCTTAAAGCCACTCCGGACATATAAAGGGGTTATATTTTTTTATCAATAAATAAGGCACAGCTTTGCAATTGACTGGCTTATTGAATGAGAGTTTAGCACACGTGCTCGGCACCAAAAATGCAGCCACCGTCAATACAGTTGATTTTCAATGACTCGTTACAGCAGGAATTTTCTTTATTGTCAGTTTTATAGAGGATTTGCGTGCACGAATATTGGCTTGGGGGAAAGCTGTTTCATACGTACAATGCACCTACAGTAACTTTCGGACGCTCGCTACACGTGCGTGCATTTGCTCGATAGTTGACATTTTGGATATACAAGTGTCGTTTTTCCAAACTCAATTCTCTAATCATAATCTCGCCCAGTCTCTTATCGGTTTCAGTCTATCGACCAATCAGCAGCGTTCTTCGCACCATCATTTTTTACCTAACTATCCCTGGTAGAAATGCTTATGGCTAGTTTATGGCAAATGAAAAAGTTGTTTTGACAACTTCATATTAAAAAGCCTCAAATTACAAATTCCTTGCAGTGCCTTATACATTCATTTTTACTTTAGCACTTGCAGATTCACGTAAAAAGAGTACTCGCCATCTGGTGGTGTAGACTTGAACTGGAATTATCCCATTTGAAGTGGATGAAAATTAGTGTTCATTTTTTGAAATAGTTATTTACAGACCATTCCCGATGTTGAGCATTTCTACCAAGGTAGAGATAAGCGAAAGTGCGGCAAAGTAGATTAAATTTTTGTCCAATGAAAATCACGAATGTTTCATAATCAATACAATTTATCGACATTTCTTTTCAATCAGAAATTGAAACAAAATAACGAACCACTGCGCTATTTGTCAATCTTCCTTCCGCGATTGGACACGCACGAAGACGTTTTTTTGAATAGACACCAATCGCGACTCGCTCCTACTTATCTCTCGAATTTAATATGCGCCGATTCGCGCATTCACGATAAGTAGTTCTATTGTTACGGCATATTCAGCTATATGCACGCACGATATAAATATTTACAGTTCTACGCAATTACTATGTGTACAATATAACGACGCGATGCATACATGCATTGCATTCTATACATCGTGATTCCGAGTAAATACAATCGCTTTTGCGAGCATACGCGAAAGCATTTCTCGCTTTGTAAGGGAGATGCCGAGGATCGAGGGGTGTGGGCTGGTGTGCAACGCGTATGCAGCGCTTACCTGCGTATGTACGTGTATAATATTAATAGTGCACTACAAAACGGCAGTAATGCAGTAGGTCGAAAGAAAAGCATCTCGTTTATTCGCGTACGTATGTTCTTTTTTTTCATACATATATAGGATTTACTCGTACGGAACTCGTATATATACCGTGGTTGTACGCATTGTTGTTGCTGTATGCGTTATAATATGCATGTATGTACACGTGCCACGCAGGTATGTGTAAAAAAATTCATAACATATGTGACTGTATTTCCAGGCTCTACTTTTTGTCGTTGTTGTTGTTGTGGTTGTCGTGGAGTGTATACTTTTCTCCTTCGCTGCTGTTTTTTTTCTCCATAAAACACGGTGGCTCGCGGAACGTTTTCTGGATCACGGATAATATCTTTTGACGCTTAACGACATGCCAGCTCGAGCAAGCAGCAGCGGCACATCGCGCCGCTCGAGTCATGGCATAGCTCACCCACACACTCATAATACTTGGCCCGCGTATGCATATCATACACACGTGTCACGTAGTATTAGAAGGGGAGGCAAGTATAAGTCGCTCTGCGGAATACCACGAGAGAATTTTTAAAAAGCCAAGTGGCCCAGAATAGAATTTCGAGAATACGAGTCTCTCGACTTTGCGTCGGTGCATAAGTCGCGTGGCACACGAGACGCTGCTCCGTCTCTCTCGCATGAAGCGGCGGCGTCGGCGGCATAAGGAAGAAAGTTTACCGATCTTGTTCGTGACTTGGTGGCTGCAGAAGCTTAAACTAGCAGTGGTATAGCTGTGGAACAACTCGCGCACACATTGTGTAAGTTAAGTGTGCAGCTGCATCGGGGGAGAGGAGCTGCGGGGGCGATAGGCAGCCAGGGTAGAGTTAGCCATGCAGCAGCAGCAGCCGATCTGCATACTGTATGCGGCTGAGAATATTCAATCGCCATCGTTTACCAAGGAATGTCAGGCATTTTTAACATGCTGTTATTGAACTATGCGCGCGCCGATCCGAACTCACTAATATTATAGCCCTTATTCCTGGGTAATAGCTAATTTTAATTGATTTTTTTTTGCCATTAAATACGGGGTGGAAAATGCGAGTATGCATTACAAACGCATTACAAATAATTCAATCAGCGGTTTAACGTACCTCGACGTTTGCAAGCCAAGGTTGGGCAACGAAAAATAAAAAAAAAACCAACAAATTTAACTAATTGCAACGAGAAACAACAAATATGTACCGTTGGAAATGAAAAAATATAGTGCTGGTCAAAGTTTGTTTGACTACGCGTTGATTTGCCCGATGGATATTCGATTAATATTTTTCGATAGTTTTGTATCCATACGACTCGACATATACTCAAAACCTCTTGCGCGTAAATTCATTACTTTGAAACCGGTATATATAAAATAATTCATTCGACTGCGGAACGTTGAAAATCACGGAAAACTCTTAGCGTGCCGCTCGCGGCTCGTAATGCGCTAGACTGCGTAAGCCTCTCGAAACTGCTTGAATATGTATTATTTAAATAAATAGAGGAGATACTAGACACGGGTGGATCCCCGAATGAAACGAAAACTTGAAACTCAATTATCTTAAAAATACGAAAAGAAGATCTCTCCACCTCTCTATCTGCACGCTCGAAACAGCTCGGCTGCCTGCCTGCTGCGCGCAGGGGCGCATTAAACGATGCGCTTTAATGCACAAAATCCGCTTGAAATTTTCGACGCGAAAATCAAAGTGTGTGACAGTTTGCACGGATTACCATTATACGTATCTCGCCAAACGCTCGCATACACGGCTGCGGCGAGTTTTCGGCTGCTGCTGCTGCGTGTGCACAGATCGGCCCCCCACGATAATTTACCAGCCACACGGACATGGCCAAAAGGAAAAGTTCGGCATAGATTTAATTATGAAAATACCGATCTACGAATTAGTGAACTTCCCCATACGTCGCGCGACGCTGGTGCAAACGTATTTGAAACACACCGGACGACGCTACACATATGAACCTACTTTTGCGTCCCACGCATGTAAACTCGCGCGCGCGCGTTTAGTTTTCAAAGCTTAATTAGCCGAGATTTTCCAGTTCTGTCAGTAAGCGCGCACCGGACTTACATGAACATGTAATGCATGTGCGGTTGTTTTCGGGGCTCGCTTGCTAGCTCACGAATTTTTGGAGCTTATAGTCGTGGTGGTGGCTGGTCGAAGTTTTGGGGCCAAAAGCGCGCAAAATTTTCGACAACACGCGAATCCGTCTACACACAGATAGATTCGCGCAGCGAAGCTTTCTCGGTGTAATAAGTCGATCCAAAATATATCGGCTGCGGACGTCTCGCGGGCCTGGGCTCTAAATTGGCCGAAGTAACTTATATTAAGCCAGAGGCTGTTATCCTGTCCAAATCCTTTCCACCCGCTCCCCGCTCCCTGCGCTCACGTGAAAGTAGGTATACGAAATTTTGACAAGGTGCTGATATTATTCCGACTATAATCTTAGTTTCGGTGTAACTACGAAAGTCGTGCAAAGTATAATTATCTATTCTCTCTTATTAGCCGTGGCGCAGGCAGGAGCCAAGCGTCAATCAAGCGAGTGCAGGGCCCCCGAAAACCTATACCTATATACGAGCAGCCCACCTCATCTATCCTCTCTCTCTCTCTCTCTCTCTCTCTCTCTCTCTCTCTCGCTTTCCGAGTCTGTCTTGCAACTGTTTGCTCAGCACAAAGCACGCAGCGCACGTCGTTCGAGCTTGGGCACATTTCAACGACCAGATTTAAACTACTTAATGCGCAGCTCGGGGGAGAGCTTTCGCTTGTTTCGTTAGCGTTATTAGCATGTTAGATTCGAAGATTACCTCTTTAACTGCTGGGACGAGCCCCGATCGCTTTGGGCTCGAGCCATAGGTATAGTTCGACGGACTACTCCCTTTGTCATCGAGCTTTGCTGCACAGAGCGCGTTTTTTAAAATTTCAAAACTATAGAAAGCTCTCGCGATGCGCTTACCGGTGTAATTTTAGTGCGGTATTGTATAGCATATCTCAAACTGAGCTTTTTATTGCATAAGCCTTTTTCGCTCGAATTAAGGATACTTTTCTTGTTTCCGTAATTGTCAATCAATTAATTTGATTAAAATGTACGCGACGCGCTGTAAGCTGCAATTAACATATTATCCTGGAATATCGAGTTATTTGATATTATATTGATATTGTCAAGTGATGAAAATATCGAATTTTCTGTCGTAATGTAGACTTTAACTGTTTGCAATAAATTTAAACCAAGTTAGTTGAACGAGATGTCGGATAAGAAATTTACTAATTTAATAAAATTTATATTTCGTTCTGCGCAGTCGTGGTTATATAAGAAAGATAAATTGTATTTGTGACTATGCAATCTTGACGAGTGAAGTTACAACTATCGAGCGTTCTAATTATTAACTCCAAGTCTGTGGTTGAAAGGGTTAACGAGATAACTCCATTTTTCGTGTTTTCGAGAAAAACATGTTTTAATTTGCGCACGAGTGTCTAGCTAGACGCGGACGACTAAAGATCTGTACCTATGGTATTTTTACCTACTATGAGATATCTTTTGATCCGTATATCTATTAAATTGA